CCAAATCAAATTCAAAAGAATTACCACGTCCCACAAAGAATTAAGAATTACAATTGTTCCCCAAAGTTTCAAGCTTCCCTATTCCCAGGCCTGTAGCCAAAATAATAATAATTGCAAACTTACCATTATTTAAACTTTAACTTTTAACTTATTATACTTCAGAGCTCAGAGCTCCGAGATCAGCTCCTTGCATTTTCCTATGAAGCTCTAATGATAAATGACATGTGCAAAGCTGCCAGGCAGTGGCCAGAAAGGATCAAGTTAACCCTTAACTCAGTAGTTCCACTAGCTTTCTGCTTCTGTGCATTGCACACAATGACTCTCCTAAGGGTCCCAGTGTTTTGACTTAGTTTTACTAGTATATGATTTTATGCATTCTGTACTCGCTTATCCAGGAACCACTCTTAAATGTTATACAAAACTGATTTCATAACTTCAATAGATTTTTCCTTTCTTGGGGTCCCAGTATTGGCTCTATTTCATTTTCTAATAATTCCTTCAAACTTTCTTTGCAAGTCAAGCATTGATCTGGAACTACCGTTGTGCAGTTATTGCATTGTTTCCAAGATGAGGACACACAGCACGTACCTGGGCCATTAGGACTGTGCTGTGCTGTGCTGTGCTGTGCCCTATGCCTCAATTTTTAATTGTTTAAGAATATTACATCAGGGAACATCTAGTTTAACAGAATTCACCAGAGAAGAAGGAGAAAGAAGTAAGAAAACCAGATATAATAGAATAATTATGCACACCAAGGCCAACTGAAAAGCAGTCACACACAAATGAAATCTATACAGCCCTTGTCCAGGGCTAAGGTTAGGAGAAATGGGTACAGCTGTTTTTTTACAAAGAGCTGCCGCGGGCTACTGAGATGTCTCCATCCCGGCCTACTGCAGGCAGTCCCTCATTTCAGATTGTGGGTCCCCTGGAGGGATGTGTCTCCTGCTTCTCAGGGTCCCAGACATTATCCTCTTTTACAAGGAGCTACCTCGGGCTTCTGAGATGTTTCCATTCTGGCCTACTGCAGGCAGTCCTTGTCATTGTATGCTGTCCCCAGCAAGCCCCAAACTCAGAGATCTGTTTGCCTCTGTCTCCAGGCAGCTTGATTAAAAGGCTTGTAACACTACATCTGACTAGGCTAGCCTCTCTGTTTTTCGAATGAAGAAAGCATGGAGAAATTAAGAAGCTTATCCGAGTAAATACTCCATTTATTAGTCAATGGTAGAGCTGAAAATCGAACTAAGAGAAAGCTTAGCGGCTCCTCAAACTGAATAGTTAAAAAGGACGAGTATATTTTGGGGGTGTATTCTTGGAGGCTGTACTAAGACTGGAGCTCTAACGGACTCGTGCTTTCCAAGTCCCACCACTAGAGGGCGGGAGCACCTTAAATTCGCCATGCTGTTCCGCCCTCTGCGTCGTCACCTTTCCACCAATCATCAGATAGCTACAGGAAGAGCAGGTCCAAAGCAGAAAGTTTTCACATATGGTCTCTACAGAGGACTTTGACCGAAGGAAACAAACAAAAAGGGACTGATTCGTCTTAAAGATCGTCAGGAAAGACAGCATTCACTTTCTGGATGATCCATCACATCCTTGAAGTACCAGGTCGCCCCTTGGGTCCTCCTCTCTTTCTGCCTTTAGTGAGAGCTGGAGCAGCCCTTTGTGGCCCCTTTAAAGAGGGAGGTGGGGAGCTCCGAGGTGACCAAAATAGAATTAAAATTTCTGTTTCTTTATAGTCATGTGCAGGTTTGTATGCCCTCACTCCGGTATCTCCGTACTCATTTTAAAGCACAAAATTCCGAAGTGGACTTTGATCTCCGGTGTCCTTTCTGGTGCCAGAACTGACGCTCTGACCCTTGAAAGTTGCCCAGGTAATTTACCCAAGCACTGGGCATCCATTCTGTGGAATGAATCATCCTTATCAACCTGAATACGTAAGCCACACAAAACAAAGACAATGACACAGCAAGATGGAACCATTTCACAAGCAGTTGAGGCCACACTGCCACACTGCCCCTCCCTCTGGCTCAGATGTTTATGGAAAGTGTCCATGAGAAATGGCAGAGTTGTTAGGCTTATCTTTGTTTTTCATTATTGCTGTAATTTTAAGGTTTTTTTTTTTAGATGATTAAAAGTTTCATTCACTGGGTCACTTATGGAATACTGGTCATATTTAAGAACAGGCCTGGAAATTGCAAAGAGGGCAAAATTGGATGCAAAGCCTGCTCTCCAGAATAGCAGCTGTTCACTGTGCCCAAGGAACTATTACCACCCCTGCTGTATCTACTAAGAAAGCGGTGGGGGTGGGGGTGGGGGAGGGGAGTGGGGAGTGGGGCTGGAGAGATGGCTCTGTGGTTAAAAGAACTACTTATTTGTGGTGGTTTGAATGAGAATGGCCTCCATAGGCACAAATACTTGAATGCTTGGTTCACAGTCAGTGGGACTGTCTGGGAAGAATTAGGAGGTGTGGCCCTGTGGGAGGTGGTGTGTGACTGGGGTTGGGCTTTGGTGTTTCAAAAGCTAAAGCCATTGTCAGTTAGCCTTCTCTTACTCCTGGATCAGATATAAGCTCTCTTGACTACTCCAGAGCCGTGCCTGACTGCCCTCTGTCATTCTTCTTAACGTGATGGTCAGAGATTCCAACTCTCTGGAACCATGAGCCACTGAATTAAATACTTTATAAGTTGCTTTGGTCGTGGTGTTTTGTCAAGGCAGTAGAAAAGTATCTAAGACTCTGATCTTCCAGAGGGAGATCCCAGCACCGACATCAGGTGGCTCAGAACCTTGTGTAACTCCAGCTCCAGGGGATCCGATGCCCTCTTCTGGCCTCATTGATGTCCACGTGCTGATGGCACCCACTGACAAACGTACACATAAATAAAATAATGAAAATAAATAGTAACAACTGACAGATTAACCAGCTTGTCCAGGGTCACACAGAAGCAAGCAGAATTTGAGTTCAGCCTCTTCACAAACAAGACAGGGCAGCCCCTGACTGCAGAGAGCTCACAGCTGATAGACACAGCATTATGGGGGTTTAGAAGAGAAGAAGAGAAGAATTTGTTCCCTCAACGGCCATTTGTGAACGGATCATCTCCTGACTGTCCCTGTTCTCTTCCTTGCAGATTCTCAGTGTTGTGGTGATCCAAGGAGATGGAAGAGAAAGGTGTACAATGCCTCAAAAGAAACGAAAGGGGGCGCTAGAGAGATGGTTCAGAGGTTGACAGTGTGTACTTTCCTTGCAGAGAACCTGACTTGTGGGTAGTTCTCAGCACCCACAACAGGAGGCTGGCAACAGCCTTCCTTGTAACTCCAGCCCCTGGAAACACTCTAGTCTGGAGTCCATTAGACACAGTGTCCATGGGCACACACTCCTACACAGACACCCAGCTAAAAATGAGATTAAAAGTAATGAAAAAACAAACGTTTAAAGAAAAGTAATGGGGAACATCAGTTCACTCATCAAGTACATGCAGAGGAGATTGGAAGAGTCAGGCAGAGACTGCGATGACTTTAAGGCTCTGGCCAATCTGAGCCTCTTACATTTGATTCATATAGTGCCAAGTACTGAGCTAGACCTGGGAAATGTAACCGACTGTTTCCAAGGCCCCTGCATGCCAGGGCTTATAGTCTGATGGAGCTGACATATAATAGCTAAGAAATTCCAGTACTATGTGCTAAAGCCGGGGGCAGAGGTGGGGGAAGGCACCAAAATGAGATGAGTCTCTATGCAGGTTGGGCCCAGGAAACTGGAAAATGACAGTTGTCACAGGGAAAACAGGAGGTACAGGGGTGTGGGCTGGGGCATGTGATTTAGATGAGGGAACAGCGTGTCCAAAGCCCTGGAAATGAGAGGATCATAATGACGCTGTAGACAGAGAGTGATGCCAGTTAATGCCATTAACTTGCTGACTAACAACTAGATTCTTTCATTGCTCATTCCCAAGATGAGAAAGGGTCTAAGTATGGGATCAACACAAGGACAAATCGAAACAGTTCTCTGCTATCCAGCCCTCCATCCCAACTAGCCTATCTTAGTCCTTGTCAATGTTTGCTGTACTTGTTCAATCAGCAAACCCTGTGCTAGAATCTCCAAAGAATCAAAGGGTTCCCAAAGGAGAGATAGTGGACTATTACCCTGCACATCTCTGTTTCCCACATAGAATCCAGTTCAGAATTTTGTGCAAAATAACGTCTACTAAACAGAATGTGAAAGAAATGAATTCATTTGAGGGCATAATTACTGCCTCAACCCACATCCTCTGGAACCTTTGCCCTTTCTCCCAAACCCACTTCTGCCGCATACAAGGGCGTCTCATTCATCCTTTATGCTTTTCTGCATGCAAATGCCAAGATTCTCTGCGAGGAAGTGGGTTAAAAGCAGAAGCTTTGAAATCGGAAGATTCTGAGCGGAATCTTACTGGATTCATGGTATTGCGCAAGTCATTCAAACTGGGGCGCCCTAAGCTTACTTCATCTGCAGAATAAGACTAACAAGCATCTGTTTCATTCGTTTTTGTGGAATGAACGTAACCAGGATGACATGAGAATAGAAAATAGGACAGTTTGTGTAAGGCAATCACTGCTCAGCCTCGCATATGAACAGTACAATCAACTGCAAGGGCCGGGTAACAGGTCTGTCAGCCACAGGCCGGAGTCACTGCAACCCATGTTTTCCCAGGGAAGCGAAAAACGTAGATCAGGTTCCCTTCAGACTCAGCCCACGCGGGGCGGGCGCAGCGCCATCCTGCGTCACAGGCATGCGGCTACCAAGCGGGACCACACATGGTGGGAACGTGAGGAGGCGGGGCCTGCGCCGCGCTGCTGACCAATGGAACAGAGGGAGGGTCCCATCTGGTCTCGCCCAATCACAGAGAAGATGCAGACTCCTTGGGGTGGAGCCATGCCTGGGAGAGGCTGCATCATAGGTCGCTGGGCGGGCGCTGGGCGGGACAGACGGTGTGGTCAGGGGCGGAGCGGCAGACCGAGACTCAGTCCGGGCTACGATGGCGGCAGCTGCTGTGGTGGCAGCTACGGTCCCCGCGCAGTCGATGGGCGCGGACGGCGTGTCCTCGGTGCACTGGTTCCGCAAAGGACTACGGCTCCACGACAACCCCGCGCTGCTAGCTGCCGTGCGCGGGGCGCGCTGTGTGCGCTGCGTCTACATCCTCGACCCGTGGTTCGCGGCCTCCTCGTCTGTGGGCATCAACCGATGGAGGTGAGGGGACCCTATGCTGCGGGATGGTAACACTGAGCGGACTCCCCTGGCCCAGGAACTCCAGCCTGTGGCCACTCTGACACAGTGTCTTTGCCCTGTGTGGCCCGCTCTGGATTCCGGGGCGGTCTGGGGAACAGAGGTCACGACCCCTCTGTGCTGACGAGACTCTCGTCAGAAACGCGAAGTCAACATGCCGGAGGACCTGCAGCCAGTCCCTGGAAGAATGGGGTGTGCAGTGGGAGGGGAGAAAAGGGTTCTTGAAGAGAAGGAGCCCCTCACTGAACGCCCCCCCCCCCAGGGCTTCCCTAAGCCTCGGATTTGTTTGAATCTCCCCCACTCCTCTTTTCCCATCCTTGGGTAACCTCTCTTCACAGACAGCCGTGGTGGTGATTAGGGAACCTATCTTAGCATTAGTCAGTATTAAAAAAAAACCCGCAAGGGCGTCATTGGGTAGTGGCACTTTGTGTTCTTAACTCGTTATTTTTTTTTTAACATTTATTGGGAAACAGTATGCATGACATGGCAGTGTATAGAGTTAAGACGACGACTTAGAGGGTCTCATTCACCAGACGGTTCCAGGGTGGAAAGCAAAGTGTCTTTACCCGATGAGCAATCTCTCAGGAGATCCCCTTAACCCATCTGAGAGGATCTCTTCTGTAGTTATAACGTTGCTAGAAAGATATTCAAAGAGGGCTCACCCGTCAGCCCTTTTGCCTGTTGTCATAAATGATTCTTTGAGGACAGTTGGGCCATTACAGATGAGACTTTTAGGAGGTAATGATGTAAGGGTAAGGAAAAACAAAACCACAGTAGCAGGGTGCTGTGATAACTCCCAGAAGGTTGAGCCTTTTCCCAGCATGCTGTGACACAATTAATAAATAGGTAGCTGATGTATTTTCTCTGTAACCAGTATTCAGAAACAAGAAGTTTTGATACATGATGTACCCATCGCTCTTTAAAGGCCTCCTACAGTAGCTTGGTTTGTTTGCATTGTTGTGAGAGATGTTTGCTTATGGCCTTGTTACACAGGAGACAGTGCCTCTCAGCGTCCATTCTTTCCTCTCCAAGAGGGGTTTGCCCTGCTAGGAGAGTAAGTGTTCCTAGCACATGTATTAAATGCCCCTTCCTGCCCCATGTACACAGAGGGAACAACTAAAGATAGTCCTGGGAGAGCCAGCTCACACTGGTTTTAGGCTGTGCTATTACGCTGTCTCCCTCCAGTTTCCATAGATAGGAGGCTGGATTTGACAAACACAGGCAAATGATTGCCTCTACTGTGGACATTAAACCAGGCCTCAGACTTTGCCCTCCCCTTCCTTTTGGCAGTGTGCCAATGTGGACAGAGTCAATAGAGTCTGACTCTGACTTGTTATGTTGTCATGAAGATGTTTCTTTTTTCACTGGGATTTAGGGTAGTGCTGTCTATGACTGCCTACTCCTATGCGATGGGGAAGATAAAAGAGCCTTTTTCTTTTCTTCACAAACTTGATTGGACTACAATATATCAGAAACTTGTTTTTTTTTTTGTTTGTTTGGTTGGGTTTTTTGGGGGGAGGGGTCACCCTTTTGTAGTGTCACTTTGGAGAGAATGAAGCAGAAGAGGAACGAGGCAGCTCAGATGCTTGAGCGACATCTCAAATCATGTGGAGATGCAGCTGCTGAGAGGTGATTTCAGGGTTGTAGCTGGTGGGCCGCCGCTGAGCATGGCAGTGAGCCGTAGGGCTCAGCGTGCTCCCACAGCCTCCAGAGACCTGCATCTGAGTAGAGAAAGACTAGTAAACAAGCATAAATGAAGGAGGCCTAAATGCCATGAGCAAAATAAGATGAGGTGGGGGTGGGGCAACACAATCTACAGATGTGTTTTTAATATATGCCTCACATTGGAATCACTTAAGGATCCTTTAAAGCTTCCTGGGCTCCCCTCCCCCATTTCTGATTCAGCTGCCCAGCTGCACTAAGGAACTACAGAGAGCCAGGCAACCCAGGGAGTATGTTGCTTCAGTGCATTGAACCGGAAGTCTAATTAGCTTTGGCATTTAGGAGGACAAGGTGAAATAGCACAAAACAGATCGAATATGGTAACTGCTCCTGAGCCTGGCAGAAGGCACACTCCAGCAGCCGCGCCATTGTTCTTGCTCCTGATGGTTTGAGTGCAGGGCCGAATGCCATTTGGTGCACAGGGTTGGAGGCGAGGAGTTTGCCACCCCCGCTCCCCCACTACCCCCAGCTGCACTTCTGCATAACTACAGTATGTGTAATCTTCCGGCACAGCTTCTGAGCTTGGGAGTAGTCTAAGAGAACGGGGCTGCCGCATAACGGCCCTGCCCCCTACTGCTTCAGCAACCTACTCTGAAATGCCTCTCTAGAAGGGTGGGGCCCATCTGGCAGAAGTGGGAGATCTGAATCTGTCACCTCTGTTACACTGACTCCCTCCCTGCAGATGGAATCAGATTAAAATAGCCACAGTGTTAGAGAGAAAGGCAACCAGGAAAAAAATGTGTGTGTGTGTGTGTGTGTGTGTGTGTGCTCACGGGCGCATGCTCATGTAGGCATAGAAGTAGGCTGCCATACTCTTTGCCTTGGTGATGATAATAGGAAGTCTATGGGCCACTTCTAGCCCTGTAGCTCCCAGGAATGTTTTTCTAGCATCTTTCGCCATTTTTCTCTGTCCTTCCTTTCCCAAATTTGCTGAATCTAGAAAAGAGGTGCTGCAGGCAAGAGCCAAAACAAAAGGCAGCTGTGAATGGCTTCTAGATTTTAAAAATGGGGCAGACTCGATCCAGTTTTAACTACTTTCTCTCTGTCACAGCTTAGATGTCAGCCAGGATTCTCCTCCTACTCTGTTGAAATCATTTTGACCCTGGTGCAGCATCTCTTTCAAGAGCTTCTGGAGCAGAGGGAGTTAGTAGACGTGTCTTTTTTCTTAGCCATTTCTCTCAGAAATTAGCCAGTGGTATAGGATGGGGACTCTTGTCATCTAGGAGCTGAATGCAGCTGGACAGCTGGTCCATCAAAGAGGGTGGCCTGGGGACTTGGTCAACAAGGAGGAGGTGGGATCTGTAGTTGCTAGTAGAGATTTGAGTTCCTTGAGCTGTTAAGATCTTCACACTGTGACTCTAGCAAGAGGCATCACTGTTCTGTAAGCCAAGAGCACATTTCCATTTGCCTAAGATGGGTAAACACTGTTTAAAATTAAGCTCCCTGCAAAAGAAAAAAATAAAACCTATACTTCTATTTGAATGAGATTTAGGAACCAATCTCTGCTACCAACTGTAGGATTAGATTACTCCTTTTGGTGGGGCTTAAACTCTGAATTTCTTGGAAGTGAATTTCTTCTATTAATATCCTGTTACCAGTCTGCCTGCCAGTTTATAATACTGTTATGGTTAGATAAGCTTTCTTGAACCAGAAGAATTTGGTCAAGGACGTCTGGACACAAAGAATTCACTACCCCACCCACTCACCACCACCCTCTGCTCTGTTGACAGATAAACCAAGTGTTTCTCAACACAGCCACTACTGTCCCCAGAGGAGAGATCTCTCTGAGTGGAAGTGTGGAACTCACTTGTTGTGAAGGGATCACCTCCTAGAGTTGTTGGGTGACAGTTTTCCCTGAATGTTTGGAAATCCCAATTTGGTTTTCTTCAGTTCTGTCTGCCTTTGCTCCAGGAGACTTATGTAATTCTGGTGCAAGGACTATTCAAAAGGGGGAGCTCTGACCGCACCCTTAGGGCCTGTGGCTGCTCCTTCAGGGGGTGTGCTTTGCATTTTGGCGCTGTGATCTCCACTTGGAAAAAGGGTGAAGATTAGCCCAAATGCCACCCCTTCCAGTGCTCACCTGTTTTCCTTTGCATTCCCCCTCCCCCTTAAGTAAAGAGAAGTGAGCAGGTACAGAGGGCGGTTTGAAGGGAGCACAGGCCAGTTTTCCCTGGTTAAGACAACCTGAGCCTGTCTGGTGGGCACTCTTTAGGAGCAGCTAGCTCTAGTTCCTTTGGTGCTTTTCAGAGCTATCACCCAACAGGTACAAAAGGTGATGTCATGAGTGACCTCCCTGTCTGTGGCAGCCTGGGGGCTGGAAACTACCTTGGGATCTCCCTGTCTCCTTCCTATCACCTCCTGGGAAGCTGTTCTGAGTCCATCCTGGGGAGGATGGGTGGTGGAAGTAGTTCAGCATTTCCTTTTCTTGGTGGTGGCTGGAGCTTGAAATGGTTTCACTGTAGCTTGTTTGTCCCGGAACTCATTTTGTAGACCAGGCTGGCCTCCAGCTCATAGAGATCGGCCCACCTCTGCCTCCCAAGGGATGAGATTAAAGGCAAGGGCCACCACCACCCTACTATACTAGGTAAACATTTCTTAAGTGTCAAATAACTCGAATCTGATGGACTTGGGGTCGAACCCAGTAGAAGCACAGTTGAAAACAAAAATGCACAGTGTACCAATACTGAGGTCAGGGCGAAGTGCACGCCACAGTGGAGCGTCTTCAGTTTTCATGGACAAGTGAATTCCCAGGCATGTTCTGATCGTAGCAGTCTGGGACGGAGCCCAAGAGTGTGTGTGTGTTCTAGCAAGTTCCTGGTCATGCACAGCTAGGGCTACTGAGCCTCACATCACACTTTGGGGAGCAAGGATCTGCAGGAAAAATGTTAGTCTTTAATTGAGCTCTGGCACTCTAAACGCTGAACCCTGGGCAGTTCCATCCACCTCAAGTGTGCATTGCTCAGAGCGACGGGTGTGTTCATTGCTGAGGCCCAGGAGCCTGGGAGCTGAGAGCGAACACTGAGCTGTAGGATCCCAGGGCTCCTAGTTCTGGCCAGTTACTAGGTGTATTATGTTGGAGAAATTATTTAATCTTTGAATGTCAGTTTCTTCATCTGTAAAATGGGGACATCCAGGGACCTAGTTGTCTGATAATTAAATAATACATGCAGAGTAAATAGGATAGAGACATGCTCAGGGAGTGCTTAGTAAAAGTAGCCGTTGCCATTGTGAGTTGCACCATTGTTTTGTGCTAGCAGAAGACTTTGTCTTCTGCTTTCCTGTCAGAGAAGACAAGGGTATTCATCTATGCTATAGAGATGCTGCCAGAAGCTCTCCTTTTAGTAAATGAGTTCTAAAAATAGAGTTGTGTAGGAAACAGATTGCAACATACTCTAGAGTCTATATTTCCTGTGCATTTCAGCCTTAATAACTGCAGATTGAAGTTCTCTGGGGTGTGGTGACTTGTGAAGATAAAGACCCTTAAAGTCTACGGCTAGGACGTATTGAGATCTTCTGATGGGAAGAAGCTCTGCCCTGAGGTGTGGAACTGTGCCTAGCAGAGCCTCCTGTTTCAGGTGGCTGAGGCTGTCCACTCCCTGAAGTCTTCTTTATTTTTATTTTGTGTGTGTGTTAGGTGTTAACAGCCAGGTACTTGCCCCCAAGACCAATTTCAGCAGGCTTGCAAATTCAGATTTAAGCAGGTTTTCTAAATCAGAAATTTCACTGCAAATGAACTTAAGGAGCCCTCAAAGCAACCTCCTGTCTCAATCCCTTGGGTAAGCCTACGTGCTCTTTAGCTCAGTGCTGCTCTGGGCTGGGCTCCTGCTGGAATGTGGGTCTACAGCATTGGACATGAGATTATGTCATTTTGTGTACGTCAGAGGCAGCAGGCAGGACCTAGTTATGATTGGCACTCTCAAGGCTTTGTAAATCTCCAGTAGTCAGGGAATGTAGCTCAGGGATCTATAGCAGATTCTGTGGAGGGACCATGACATAAGAAGCTTGGCCTGTTTAATTTGGGTCCTGAGAAGGAAGATAGGTATGTGGATGGACTGTCTGGATGAGGCTTGTGTTCCAGACTCGACTCTCAGCCCTTGAGTGTAGTGTTTAGAAATGGACCACTGAGAAAAAAACATGGCTTTCAGAGTCTGGTCTGCCTGGGCCACTGTGCCAGCTCAGTCACCTAATAGCTATCTGCTTTGGTAAATTCTCTAAACTCTCTTGTCAGTTTCTTTGTCTGCAAAATGTGAATAGTTGTTTCCTTCAAAATGTGTTGAGGGAGTCAAATTATGAAAGTACTTCCAAATTAGAATAGATCCATAGTCAAACTGATGACTGTGGTTGCCTTGGGAAGGCAAGGGATGATATTTCACTCTGTACCCGATTGCCACTGAGATTTTGAACTATATTAGTAGATAACAAGTACACTGAGCTTGAGGATCAAGGGACTGTGGGACACAGAGAGGAATGGAAACAGACCTTCAGAGACGACCCAGCCTATGGTTGTGGCTTTAGTATTTAACAGACATGTAAAACAGCACCAAGAGCAGCTCACAGTGATCATGTGAGTTCTGTGCCTAGGCTCTGTCTGAGGTTTTCCTTGCATTGTCTGATTTGATTTCTTAGCGCTTTCATGAGGTAACATCTTAGCAAGTCTATAGGCTCCACTGTTAGTCCCATGGTTGGATGAAAAAGCAATTAAAGAGGTTAAGTCACGTTGTCTCATATCACACAGCTAGCTAGTGTGGTTAACCCATCGCTCCTGCACACACCATACCAACTTGTTTGGCATGAACAGTGGCTTTGTTGAGAGAGAGAGAGAGAGAGAGAGAGAGAGAGAGAGAGAGAGAGAGAGGGAGAGAGGGAGAGAGAGAGAGAGGGAGAGAGAGAGATTGTTTACCACCTCTACCCTAGCCCCTACCCATGTTAATAACGAGGCCTTTGTGGAATCTGCAGGTTCCTACTGCAATCTCTAGAAGATCTGGACACAAGCTTAAGAAAGCTGAATTCTCGTCTGTTTGTAGTCCGGGGACAGCCAGCTGATGTGTTCCCAAGGCTGTTCAAGGTGAGCATGGAGGGCTGAGAGGGAGTTTCTGCTGCTTGGCATCTTCCTACAGAGTGAAATGCTATTCTGGCTGGCAAAATGGAAATACTGGTGCCTGTCTGGCCACTAAAATGACTGCTAGGTAGGGCAAAAGCAGAGACAGCTGGTAAATTTGCCAGCAGGGTAGAAACTGCTAAGGGAAAAAATTCTGTAAAATCAATGTTGTGTTGGAAAGATCCCAACTCAGCCCAGACACGCAGAGTGGTAAGTCCTTCCGCCCTGCTGCTGCTGGCTCCCTTATGTTTCCTGGCTCAAGCTAGTACATTTTAATAGAGCTTGTTCCTGCCAAGACTTTGAGGGTGGGGTTTCCTGTCTAACAAGGATTGCTGCCCACCTCAACTTGCTCTGCTTATTAGGAAAAAAGTCAGTCAGGCATTTGAGGGAGCCGTCCCTGTTTCCCCGTGGTAAGCAATTAATAAAATCTTCATTCTGAGGCTATACTGGAGGCAAGCCCATTTCCAGCTGCCTCTTTAAAATGCATGTTTTAAGGCCCGAGCAGAGACAAAAGTTCTCATGGATAGAACATTCTAGACTATTCTCCTTGTTATTCAGTAGCACTCCAAGTTCTATATGGAAAATCTAATGTCAGAGAAAGCAGCTTCATAGTGTGTCCCCTGCCCCCACCCCATTATTCTGTACACACCTATGAACACTAGTCATTAGCAATCTCCAAGGGCTGACTGAGTCATGTTCCAACTGCTACCATGTGCTAACACCCTCAACAGCCCTGAGGAGTGGGTTCTGCTGTCCCAGGTTTACAGGTAAGGAAGCTAGCATGCACCCCTGGGCAGGAAGTTGTCTTGGGCTCTCTGACATAGAGCTGTGTGTTTACCTGGCATACCCTGTACATGCGTTTGTTAGACTGTGGCTATGGCTCAGTGGTAGAGCACTTGCCTAATGTACATGAGGCCCTGGTCCCATCCCACCACAATAAAACCAAGACAATGGTAATAGAAAATATTTTGTCTTTCCTATCCCTCCACATTGCTCCTCTCTCCCAGGAACTCAGAGGCCAAATGGTCTGTAGCTCAGAAATACAGATCCATTGGTTGTTCATTGAATCACTCAGTGTGTATTTATTGAGCTTCTACTAGCTATCAGGCCCCTGACTGATAAGGCAATAGTGCTGCTTATACACCCAGCATGCTTTCTACTCTGAGTTCACACAGTGACGGCAAGACAGGTCAGTACTGGGCAGCTTCATTGCCTATGACAAGTACTGTAATAGAAATAGGACACGGCACAGGAGAGTCATCCTGAAGGACTGGGGGCTCTCATTTAATGAGAATCTTCTTATTCACAGGGTTGTATGAGTATGTAATGCCGTCATCTCGGTAAACCACTTAGCATAGTAAGGACTAAATAAATATATAGTGCATTTGGACTTAGATGGGCTGGAGACCCACCCTGCTAAAAACTCACTCCCCTGGGCAGGGCTGAATTAGGATATTGACCAGTGATTCAAAGCTTTAAGGGACTGTGACCACAGACTGGTTAGATTGTTTCTTTCTTGCTAATTACATGCTATATAGGGCTTTCTATGGCTTGTCTAGATAGCTTTTACTGGGTCTTCTCCTGGTGTTGCTAGGAGACCCAGCTATTCCTACCCGAAGTGACTGAAAGCTCAGAAAAAAATTCCCCTTTTCACAACCTGTAGCCCCTCCAGTTTGTTTTCTCTGGACTCAGGATAGCTCCTCCTTCTCCAGCTCTGAGAGCCATTAGCTCTGTTTGCTTCTGGCCTAGGGAGTGTTGCTGTGGAAACCATTAAGGCACTTTACATAGCACAAGTCTGCCAGGAAAACTAGGCCACAAGTTTGTAGAGTCTGAGGAGGCCTGGGAAAGGCTGCAGAGCAGGCGGGAGTGTGTGGGTCGCTCCCCCCCTCCTGTGTCCCCCCCCATTTCCACTGTGAGTCAGCCTCTCTGTGGGCTGGGGGGCTCCCCTGGGAACATTGTATTTATAGCCTCATTCCCTCACCTCAAGGCCACTATGAACACAGGGCCTTTCTATTGACTCCACCGTGTGGTTGGCCTCCCCTCCTGGCTGACAGCTCCACACTGTCTGAGCCTCCGGGGCTCTTTGCTTTTTGATTGAAACTATTGTCCAAGGCCCTTTCTTTGTTCTGTAGCTATTCTAACAGAGCTGAGATTAGCCCTGCTCACTCCCAGAGAGAAGCTGAGTGCCCAGGTCCCTCTTCTTGAACCAAGCATAACAGACTATCTCTACACAGGAATGGGGGGTGACCCGCTTGACCTTTGAATATGACTCTGAACCCTTTGGGAAAGAACGGGATGCAGCCATTATGAAGATGGCCAAGGAGGCCGGTGTGGAGGTGGTGACTGAGAACTCTCACACCCTCTATGACCTAGACAGGTAAGACATGGGGGCTCTCGGGAAGGTTGGCCATGGTGAAGACTGGTGATTTGGGCTCCTCCTAAGTGGAACTTGGACCAGTTCGGCAAGAGGGCTAACCGGATCATGAAGTTTGGTATTTTCTAAAACCTGGACAATAATGGGTCTGAGTTGGGGGCTAAAGAAGTCACCAAGAGGCTACCCAATTTGGTTAACAAAAAAGGCTTGCTTAGGCCCAAGCTGTGGAAGCAGGGAGGATCAATCTCCACACAGGTCTTCGTAGATCTGTCATTGGCTCATTGATCTTCCTGTTCTCCCCCTCTGTTGTGCTCCCAAACCACAGAATCCTAGCCTTGGCAGACCCCGTCTGTCGCTCCTCCCAGCAGGCCTCTGTTCTCTCAGACCTAGTTTCCACTCCTAGGATGATTCCTGGTCTGCTCTGCCTATCTGGGTTTCCGGGCCATGCATTTTGATAATACTGTTTGAGGGCTCTAGAGACCCCTGCAGGGTGCTGGCAACCACACCAGAGCCTCCTTCCCCCGTTGCCAGCCTCTGTGCTTCTGTGTCCCCTTCCCTGCTGGAGATGCCACTCTTCTGTAGCTGCTGCTACTCCCTGCCCTCCTCCCCAACCAAGGGCTGGCTGCCAGGAGGCTGGGTCACACAGCTGTGCACGTGAGCCAAGCCCTCAGGAGGAGAGGCTTGGTGTGGAGCCCTTCCCCTGCCACGTGCCAGAGGAGGGGGAGGGACTACAGAGGCAGCAGCCAGCTCCTATCTGGGCTAATGGAGGAAGAACAGGGAGAACAAACCGGAAAATGAACTCACCCGGACCAGGCAGGCCTTGCATAAGCTCCTTCTTGGCCAGCAAGAGCCCAGGAATCTGGCTACAAACCATCCACATTTATCCTTACAGATGCAATGAGCCCTCTTCAGCCTTCATGCCTTTCCTTCTTGCTTGTGAAAAGTGCTTGGCACACACTGCAGCACTCTATATGCTGCTGTTTCCCATAGCCCCAGACTCTGACTTAGGGAGCATTAGCCAGCCTTCACACCTCTGCTCTAGTGAAAAGGGCTAACAGGACAGTGATCCTCCAAGAAAGGAGCATGTTATACCCCTCACTGTACATCTCTCAGAGGCTCAAAATAGGGTAGAGAGAAGCCCTTGGTGTGGTCAGATAGGTACCCAGAGGCCCATGGGGGATTTTCTGTCTGATTAGAGAGATACGGTCAGTCTCTGTCTCTAGGCGGCTCCACGTGGACACCAGGAAACCTGGAATTGAGTCCCAGCTCTGGCCCTGCCTTGCTCCATTACCTGAGGCTCCTGTTCCAGCTCTCTGGGCTTCATTTTCCCTATCGGTAAAATGGAGATACAGCCTCCCCTGTGCCCCTCTTTCTACTCAGGGTTGGGACTGTGAGGTGATAAGGAGAGTGACCCTCAGAGCTTCTTGAGTCTTGCACTCTTTTTTTGGGTGGTCAGGGACCCCAAAATAAAGGGCCCCGGGAGTGACTTCAGATGTGCTTTGGGCTCCCCAGAATCATCGAACTGAATGGGCAGAAACCACCCCTTACCTACAAGCGCTTTCAGGCCCTCATCAGCCGTATGGAGCTGCCCAAGAAGCCAGTGGTGGCTGTCAGCAGCCAGCAGATGGAAAGCTGCAGAGCTGAGATCCAGGAGAACCATGATGACACCTATGGTGTGCCTTCCCTAGAGGAACTGGGTGAGTATGTCCTGCAGCACGCCACACCACACAGGCCGCTGCTTCCTGTGTGGGATGTGGCCTTCCTGTTTCCTTGTCAAAAGTTAGAAAATACTAGCCTAGTGGCACATGCCTGTAATCTCTGAACTGGTAGACAGAGGCAGGAAAAAACTGCCTGGATTACATGAGACCTTGTCTTAAAAGGGAAAAGAAAAAAATCAGAGAAGGTTGCTGTTATCCCCCACCCCTCACCCACATGACCAGTGAGCTGCCTGTGCCCTGCCAGGCTGCTGTTTCTAGCTGGAGCCTCTGTGTAGTTCCCTCTCTCCAACAGTAGAGGCACTGTCTGGTGCTGGTCAGTGGGCTTCTTCACTAGGATAACTAATCCTGGCTTTAGGTATCCAGTCAGCTTCCTGCCTCCCTCTTCTTGCTCAGACCATCTTCTGACCTGAATAAAGCCAGCCTTCTTCACTTTAAGGGGTTTTTTTCAGTTCTCATAGCACCAAGTCCAAGGTCTGTGGTTCCATTTAAAGAACAGATCACTCTGAATAGTGGAAATTATCATTTTTATAGTTGTGAATCTCCTTAAAGGTGTTTACTGAGCTGTTTCTGAGGTGACCTGACCTGCAATGCTATGACCTACTGTTCCTTTTGTAGGATTCCCCACCGAAGGACTCGGCCCAGCTGTTTGGCAAGGAGGAGAGACAGAAGCTCTAGCCCGCCTGGATAAGCACTTGGAACGGAAGGTATGGCCCTGTTTCTCTTCCTGATGGCAAGATTAACAGCAGCTCTCAGAGAGTCCATCCCTGTGCTGGCCACTGGCTTAAGTGCCTGATTGCATTATCTCCCTTCGTCTGTCCAGAGGCAGGTATTAGGCTCCCATCTGACAGGTTACAAACCTGGGCTTAGAGAGGTTGAGTAACCTGCCTGAGGTCACACCATTGGTTAGCAGTGTAGGAGGCACAGTTCCATGTGATCACACAGCTGGCACCAGGTTAACTTTCTTCTGTGGACAGCCTTTGCTTACTGAAAGGGCATCCAACCAGGCTTGATGCATGCCTGTAATTCCAGCATTGAAGAGGGCTGAGGCAGAAGGATTGCTTTAAGTTCCAGGCCAGAGTGGACTACAGAGTGAGACTGTCTCAAAGGAAGCAATAACACTGTTGAGTTGATAAAGCCCATCAGGTCAGTTAATGGGTGTCAGATGGCCCCTCCCATCTTTTTTGGTTTTCTCCACAGCTATTTTCATTTGCTTAGACCCAGATAGCAAGTGGCCTACCTTCTGTGCAGTGGGAATTGGCAAGAGGGAGGAAGAGGCTGAGGCCCAAAGGCACTGTGATCCTTACCCACCCATGACCAGAGAAGCAGAGCAGGTTCCACGGACTTGAGGACTTCTGCTTCCAAACTCTCCGACCGTGCAGTCTCTCTATAGTCTGTCCCTTAAAAGCACAGCATTTTCTGTCCCCACTCAAGTGACAAGGTATTTTCCCAGCAGCTAGGTAATAGCAATGGATCAAGGGCCCAAGGCAGCCTGCTAAGGAAGAATGCTTTCCCAGCCTCAGGAGTGGCCAGCCAGCATTGGAGGATATGGTGACAGCCTCAGCCTCCCTCAATTCAGCAGACGTAATATTCCCATTCAGATGTCTCTCTGAACTGAGGCTAAAACAAGGTCCTCCAATGAAAATTGAGGCTGAGAGTCAAGAACCACAAGGAGCCAGCTCCATGTGTCCTCATCAAGAGCTAATGAGGGACAGCTTCATGTGTCCACATTAAGGGCTCTGCACAGGGCTGGGTTATAACTTGATGGCAGACTGTTCTTCAGCCATGCTCAAAACCATCATTCCATCTTAGCACCAGATGAAAGGAAAAAACAAAACACCATACCCAGTGATTCGTAGGCTGTCTGGAGAGAGATGTTTGGTCAGAGGCAGGGATGGAGCTGACAAAGGAATGATAGGAGGAGCAGGACTCATGAGAGACAGAGCTACACCAAGTCTCATTTTTGTTACCTTAACAGTATTTGTAGGGGACTGCCCCTCAAATCTCCAAACCAGGAGCCCATTTTCTACACAACCCTGGATGCCACCCCATCCTCCACTCACTGGGGAAAACTGAGGTTTTAGATTGAAGAAATGATCCCTGAAGGGAGCAGCAGTTTCTATTATCGGTATGTTCTAGGAGCTAGAAAGACTGATGGTCAGGACAGACATGGAGAAGCACATTCTGTTTAGTTACAGATAGCCTAAGGGTTAGGAGAGCAGCAGGGCAGAGGGTTGCAGGCTCGAAGAACATCGGGATTAATTATCAATCAAGTGTTGCACTTCAGCTGGCCTTTGAAAGAGAGAGTCTTTAAAACTGATATAACCAGGAGTTTAAGGTGTAGCCTTTGGCATAGCAAGATCTAGGTGTCCCAAGAGTGTTAGGGCAGGTACCCTCCATCCCCTAGCTTCGCTCTGCTCTGTGAGTCCATCTCAAGTGGGCTTCCCTTAGCAGCAGGGAAGGTGGTCGGCATAGCCTATTTGTCTTCTGTCTCTGTAGCTCACCAGAGCAAGGAGCATGCCTCTCTTTCGAAAGCATCAGTAAAAGTCCAAAGAAATATTTTCATTGGCTTGGCTTGGGCCCTGTGCTCTTCCCTAGCTCGTGACCACATTCACATCCTGAGCCCACTCCTAGAGTCAGAAAGTAAGCATGGATCTGCCCTGCCCACTAGAACTGAGTAGAGAAGGTGCTCCATTAAAACACTTGGTGCTCTTACCAAAAAGGGAGGCAGACTGTGTGCCCTTTAACTTCTGGGCTTCTGTATTGGCATTCCTTTTTTTTTCTCCCCTTGAGACAAGATTTCTCTTTTTATCCCTACCTGTCTGGAACTCTCTCTATAGACCAGACTAGCCTTGAACTCACAGAGATCCTCCTGCCTCAGTCTTCAGAGTACTGGGATTAAAGGCATGTGTCACCACTGCCAGGCATGTATTGACATTCTGATTCTTCAAATAAGATTTATTCATTTTAATTCTATATGTCTGTTTTGCTAACATGTATGTATCACGTGCATCACACATGTGCCTGGAGCTCACAGAATCCCTGGACCTGGAGCTACAGACAGCTTTAAGCTACCATGTAGGTTCTGTCTGATGAAAGAGTAGCAAGTGAGTGTTTTTAATGCTGAGCCATCTCTCCAGCTCCAGTATTCTGATTATTAAATGAAAAAAAAAGGATAGTAGAACTGGAGTGGCCCTGTTGTGGACTCAGGGATGACACAGATGTAATGACAATGGTCAGCATCAGAGACAGGCAAGTTTCATATGTCCCCTACTGTAGATTTCATAAAGGATCACACCCAAGTTCAGTCCAGTGTCTGGTACCAGGCAGCTTACAAGTAATGCACAGATAGGGATGTGCCAAACTATACATGAGTGTGCAGGCACCAGGCAGTGCTTCTCTGTGTCCTTCCACAGAAACATCAAAGGAAAAGGAAGAGGTGCCAAAGAGTATATATACGTGTGCTTAGCGGAAACTTTGATGTGACTACTTTTTAAGTGGCTAAGACCGAGCTATAGGACTGAGGGATGCACATTTGGGTAGTAGGGGAGACAAGCAAGTTCGTAGAAATCCAAGGATAGTTGTGGAAGAATAGAGAGGCTCCAAACACACTTTGCAAAAGCAGAAAAATGTAAACATCTCCAAAATGTGGGAAGTAATAATTATAAAAAGCTGAGGCTGCCGTCACGGGTGGGGGGGGGGGAGATTGCTGAGGACTGAGGACAGACTGGGGGACTAGCCAGGTCCTGTTTCCAGAATTTACCTATGTTGACTTTAGAAGAATTTATGAAGCTACATGTTTGTGTGGGTCTCTGTGTCTGCGTTTGATTTAAGATTAAAAAAAAAAATTGGGGCCTGGAAAGATGGCTCATGGGTAGGAGTGTTTGTTTCACAAGCAGGAGAACTGAATTCAGATCCCGGCACCCACATACACAGCTAGTCACATAGTTTAATATAGATGGAAAATTAGCTTTTGCCAAAAAAGGAAAAAAGGAGGCCAGTTGTGATCTCACACACCTGTAAGTCATTACAGGAAAGGTTGCTCGGGTGGTCTAACCACCAACCTATTCCTCCCCCAAAAACCACACAAATGAGCTCCGAGTACTGGGAGAGTGTTTGGCTCAAGGAAAAGAGTAAGAAAACAATAAGGAAGACACAGACACCCAGCGTCTCCCCTGGCCTCCACACCTGCACACATTTGCACAGAGAAAAAGAAAACAAAATGTTTTATAAAGGTTGAAACCGTAGGATTAGGGGTGGGGGTGGGGCAAGGGGATGTGCTGGCAGAAGTACCCAGTGCCTGTCTGAGACACTTAAGGTGCAGGGGAGAGAAGCAGCAGAGAAAACCACATCTGCCAAGGCTGGAAACACCCATGACTTTGAGGAACTGTGGCCAGAGAGGTCTGAGTTGTTGTGTGCCTCTCTTAGTCCCCTGAGAAGCCCAGGTACTCCATTCCCAGTGTGGACAGTGCATCAAAGCGGGCTGTCTTCACAGTCCAGTCTAGATTTTATCTTAGCAGCAGTGGATGGAAAGAACATTGAAGAACATTCGGTAGAACATTGAGGACATGGTGAAGGAGAAGGGTGATGTCAGTGAGGAGGATAAAGTTGCCTTCTCTGTGAAGAGTCCAGCACGGGAGTGAGCTTAAGGAACAGAGCAAGTTCCGCATCCCGGTGAAACCAGCTGAGCTGCAGCTGTGCACAAGAGTGCCTGCCAAAAGATGGGCCTGGGGCAAGGACAGAGCCAGGGGCTGGAACACTCGGGGGATGGAGAAGAGAAGGAACTTAGAACCTAGGACAGTGGTTCTCAACCTTCCTAAGCTGTGACCCTTTAATACAGGTTCTCATGTTGTGTTGGCCCCCAACCACAACATTGTTTTCCTTGCTACTTTCTGTGACTTTGCTACTGTGATGAATCATAGTGTAAATATCTGATATGCAGAATATCTGATATGTGAGCCCTGTGGAAGGGTTATTCCGGAGGTTGAGAGCCACTGACCTAGAGTGACTAGCAGGTAGCCAGGCTGAGTACATGAGTGGTCCAGGGAGACCTGTGGATTGGAGACAGACATGGGGAGTGAGTGGGGAGAGCACCCAGAATCCAAGGACAGCAGTGCCTGGGGTCAGTGCAGTGCCAGAAAAGTCAAAGGCTTAGGCAGATGGCTGAAAAGTGTAGTTAAGAGAGGATGGTGGAGACAGGTTGGCTGTGGAGGAGAGGGCCTGGTGTGAGAGGCCCTCTGGCTATCACAAGCCCTTTGTTTTGATGATCATTTGTTCAGTTTGAAGAGTAGAAGAAGTGAGATCATTATTTCATATTCTTGGTATGGAACTGGTTAGGGGAGAGTGTCAGGTCCCAAAGAAACCTGGGACAACTCATTCAATGCCCGTGCCTCCCAACACTTTTCATCCTACCCCTCACTCCACCCCAGGGCTGGGCTTCCCTTCCCCCAGCTCCCAGTTCTAATATAATCCAGCCATTTCGGCTGTGTTCTCTCTTGGCCTCTTAGTCTTCAGCTCCTCACTTGGTCCTCTCCTCTTCCTCTTCCTCTTCCTCTTCCTCTTCCTCTTCCTCTTCCTCTTCCTCT